GGATTGGTGAATATTTAAGCTTTGCGGATTATTGCAACGTTCATGTAGGAGATCAGACTTAATGTTTCTTCTATTTTTGGACAATGGACTGTATTTCTGAAATTGATGAAGCTTTTATTTGTCCATCATGAAACACCCTAGGTGGTAAACAATGTATTATATAAATTAAGAAATATTCTTTAGTTCCATTAGTTACTGCAAAAATCTAGATCAATAAATAAATTTGCTCTCCATAGAATGGAAATAGTCCAGTTTAGTTAAATTTGAACCAGGTGATGTTCGGGTGCTTTATTCTAGTGGAAGTGGAAAATATACAAGCTAATATTTATGAGAGTTAACTTCTTACTCTGAGGAAGGGATATCAGTTATTAAAACAACAAACTCGCAAACTGCTATTTTCCGTAGAAGACTGAGGTAGTCAGCCTTCTACATAAAAAGAGTGAGAAAGTTTGATTGTGACAGTATAGTAATGGGATAAATAAAGCAGGCAGGCAGTGTTACCATTTTAAAATTGCCATAATATATAAGTTGAAAGTAGTGTATTCACTTGAATTATTATCTCCCTTCTAGTACATATTAAAGCTTGTCATTCCCTGAACTAACTTTTTACAGTTCAGAATCTAAGAGGAGAGAACTCTGGCATTATCCCTATCCAGTTCAGCTGGAAAAAAAAATCCTAGTAAGTTCAATTGTGAGCCATAGCAGTCATGCTAAAAGAACAGGTGACGCAGACTAGAAGCAATGGGTTTTCCCTTCAAAAAGCACTTGTTGGGTCTGTTTTCCAATGGCCCAGGGAGTTGTCGTGGAAGGGTAAAGAAATAGCATCACTTTTGGGTGAGGTTACAGCTTGTGCTGCTCTTCCTCAATCGGTGATGCAACAAAAAATTGGAGAAGTTCCCTTTATAACTTTGATACAAAGTGTTTAATAAAATACACTTAAAATAATCCCTTTATTTCACAGGAGCCAAGAATCTGTACATAATATCAGTCAAGGGAATTAAGGGGCGTCTGAATAGACTGCCAGCTGCAGGTGTGGGGGACATGGTAATGGCTACTGTCAAGAAAGGCAAGCCAGAGCTGAGAAAGAAGGGTGAGTGATGGAATAAACAGGGTATATTGATTTACAATCTTGTTTTCGTTACTTTGAGACTGCAAGTTTTAGAGAAAAGCAGTTGGAAGAAACTACAGTTACAATCTACTAATCATTACTTATATCTAACATTTTCAGCATTAAAAATAATTAGAGGTAAGAGAGTTGGATTTAGTGATCCTTGTAATAAATATATTGGTGAGATCTACATTAATTGTAACTTAACTATAAAGTGTTTTTGCCCTAAATGATTCACCTGTTGGAAACCTGTTGGATTCATTTTGAATTAATTTATGAATCGGATTGTGTTCCCATCTTCTGAATTCATATATTCTAGAAAAACATATTTTTCCTTTGGGAAAATCAATCTAGGCTAATATATCCAGTTTAGATTGTATTTTAGCAGAGTACATTAATTTAGGCCAGAATGGAATATAATTTATGCCAGGAATATTGTAAGTGGTGCATATGTATTCTATCTTCCTCAAACAATAATTCTCAATTTCCAGAATAGAGGGGCTGACTGAGTTGTCGTCCATAACAAAGGTACTAGACAGGGAAAGACTATTCTATTTTCTAATTTCCCCCCCCAAAAGGTGAATATTGTATAATAAAATAAAATCATATACTTTACTATAAAGTTCTGTCTTATTAGAAATCTTGTTTGAGCACCAGAACCATAGCTAGTTCATAGATGATCTCTTCAGAGTGAAGTATTTCCAAAATGCTGTTTACTAAATGGTGTAAGCACATACTTAACTGTTGTTGACATAGAATTTAATACTACTTGGAACATATTTTTTATTCTAATTTTTCTGACACATATGCATTTAGAAGTTTTAGATTTTATATTCTATGCTGCAATGACATGCATTTTAATAAGGTTGATCTGATTGTTTTCAGTTGCAACATGTTCCTTTTTATAACAACTCTAAAGAAACCAATGCTCAATTTCAAATTTCAGGTGTTGCATATTAAACTACTGATTTTGAACTTTTTCATAGTGCATCCAGCAGTTGTGATTCGTCAGCGGAAATCATACAGGAGAAAAGATGGGGTATTCTTGTATTTTGAAGACAATGCAGGAGTGATTGTAAACAACAAGGGAGAAATGAAAGGTATTGCTGCCGAAAGGAACCAAAAAATTAAAAAATTATACTTTGCTTCTTGCAAAAATATGCCGTCTGTGTTAATACTTATTCCAGTGAACTAAAGAATTGTAATGGATAGATCAGTTATTAACACAGATCCTTAATACAATTACAGAGGATTTAGATGAAATGAACTGGCTGGATCTGTTCCAGTCTGGATCCATGCCAGTCTAGGATATTTTACAGTAAACAGTAGTAATGGGGAATAAACAGTTACGCCTATCATTGCTCCAACATGACATATCTCAAAGCTCAGTTCTTACCTGTTTCAACTAAGCTTCTAGGAAGCTGGGAGAGGTCCTCCATTGGTCTGAAATGAAGAATCTATATGTGGGTGATATTTATTTATACAGCAGTATCCAGATTGCTGAAGATGTTACAGAAATATTGGAGATGTAAGAGTCTGGACAGGCCCATGCAAGCTGAAGCTAAATTCCAATATAATTACTCTTTGTCCAGAAACATTCTAGTTCACTGATAGTTCTAGTTGTACTTGGAATGGAGTTGCCATTTCTCTGAAAGAACAAATGTGCAACCTGCTGATTTCCTGGACATAAGAGCTTTGCTGGAGAGCAGGCAGGAGACATGACAGTCTTTGTCGAGCTAGTATGTTAGTTGCAGGCCTATCTGGACTGTAATGTATACACAGGCCTGTCTCTGAAGATAAGATGGTACATAATTCAAAAGCCAGAATCCTAGTGAATGGTATCATTACAGCACTATAACACTTGATTGTCTGGTCACTATATTGGCTGCCAGAAAATTTAAAATGCTGGCTTTGATTTATAAAGTTTTCCATACAATATTTCCAATATTGTATACTTGTTAAATTGTCCCAGATAACATTTACTTGGTTCATGTGTACAACTTGGGAGGAGATCATAAGACATCAAAAGGACATGGATGTGAAGCTAGTCTTTTTCTGGAGTGGTCTCATTGCTATAGAACAGTGGTTCTCAACCTGTGGGTCCGGACCCCATTTGGGGTCGGACGACCATTTCATGGGGGTCACCAAACAATGCAGTCCGCCATTTTTTCCCCTTTAGCTGTGCTACTCCCTTTTATTCTATTGGCTTTTGAAAGCCAATAGAATAGACTCTTGAATAGAGTCTAATTCTATTGGCCTTCAAAAGCCAATAGGAATTGTCCAGGCTGTCTCTGCCCTGCTGAGCCCGCCAAAAGTCCCATTCTGCAAACGGTGCTGCACCAGTTGAGTAGTCCTCGACTTACGACCAGTTGGGGGTCACGGCATTAAAAAGGTTGAGGACCACTGCTATAGAACGACTTATTAAAATGTCCTGGGCACTAATTAAGGTTTTACAAAACTAGCACAAACTAATAAAGAGCAGAAGCAAGCAACAAAGAAAGAAAACAGAAGAAAAGCAAAAGTGTAGAAAGAAAGAATTAAAAAGAAAAAAATAAAAGATTACAATTTCTTTTGCAGCAAATATTAAGTACAGCATTATTTCTTACTTTATGTTTATAGTAAACCCCTCATTTTCTATCTTCCAATACTTCTCTAACCAAAACCACAACGTGCATTTTCTGTTTCATGCAAAAATGTCTATAAAGAGTTTCCAGTTAATCATAAATGTAGATACTTATTTTTATGATGGTATTGGGCAGCTACTGCTAAGTAATATTTCTGGTTTTTTTCTTTATTTTTCCAGGCTCTGCTATCACAGGCCCTGTAGCCAAGGAGTGTGCAGATCTTTGGCCCAGAATTGCTTCCAATGCTGGCAGTATCGCATAAATATATTTGTTTGTAAAAATCAAATAAAAATGATTGGCTCAAGATTTTGTGATGTGAATAACTTCTATATTATAGGGAAAGAAATAAACTTTCTGAATTAGCTTGGATATTATTAACAGAATATTGAATCAGAAAAGCTCACATTGTTTGATGTGCTGTTTTAATCTTTGTGTAAATCCATTTTGATAGAGAAGCAACCTAGAACTAAGGAGAAATTTTCTGACAGTTAGAACAATTAATCAGTGGAACAACCTGCCTCCAGAATCTGAATACTCCAACACAAAGTTTTTAAGAAGAGACTGGACAGCCATTTGAAATGGTATAGGGCACGAGCTGGCAACCCACGGCTCTGGAGCCGCATGTGGCTCTTTCAGCCTTCTGCTGCGGCTCCCAGTCCTCCGCCATTTGCAGAGAGAGACAGGCACTTGCGCTTCCCCTCCCTCCGATCTGCTCAGCTAGCCTCACGCTGTTCTCTAACAAGCTGACAAACTTATTTGGGCAGGCTCCCTGCCCTTGCGTTGCAGCAGAAAGCAGCTCTCTTACACACAGAGACACACTTTTACTTAGTGGGGAAAGGACTGGCAGACCAAGGGCAGGAGAGAGCCAGCCCAATAAGAATGTGTCAGCTTGTCAGAAAACTGGCCAGGTGAGCAGAAGATCAGAGAGGGAGAGAAAATATGAATATATGTTGCCCTTACTGAACTTTTAGTAAAGAACGTTTAATGAAATATTTTGATTTTTTTTAAAATAGATGAGGTATGGGGATAATTATGCTGTATTTAAAGATGGTAGATAAGCTACTAAAATTGTTTTCACCTGTTGAGATGAATGAGAAAGGGTTTTTTTCCCCCTCTTTTGCCAGTATAAAAATTTATTTTCTTTGTAGCAGTTTATTGATTTCATAAATGCAATACACTAGTTTTTTTATACATAGCATAAAGGTAAAAAAGGATATATGCAGTGTTATCTTCATTTTAGATGTCAAAAGGATTTTGTGGCTCCCAATGTTTTCTGTAAGAAACAGGTCCAAGTGACTGAGTGTTTAAGGTTGCCGACCCCTGGTATAGGGTTTCTTGCCTGAGCAGGGGGTTGGAGTAGATGATTTCCAAGGTCCCTTCCAACTTTATTGTTATGAACTCTTGAGTCTGAACAACATTAGGTCCACCTTTTAGAATGTTGTAATGTTAGAAATAGGTGGAGAAACATTTGTGTAATTTATTTAAAACACAGAAGAGGTATATGTAACTATGATTATATACAAAAAAAGAGAATAATTATTTGGTCTGCAGTTGTCCGGTGATACGCTAACTCCTTTTGGATGTTTTAAAATTGCCATAAAATATAAATTTTGTAAAGTAATTTCCATTATTTTACATGTATATCAGTAACATTGTTTGATTCACTAAAGAAGCTGTGGACTCAGCTGTGGGTCCTCACGCTCCAGCTAGATACAGTACATTTTTGTGCTAGGCATATCCAGATTATACAGGATAGGCAACGACATGCTGGCTGAGCTGTCTTTGCCCCTACCTTTCCCTGCCTGAGTAAAGTTGACTAGATTTAGCAAACTAAAAGAAAGGTTAACATGGATACTCCCATGTGATCTTTTTTTTAAAATATTGAACAGTTTACCCAGCATAGGACAATACAACCATAAATTGAATTGTAATACGCTTCTGTTTATAATACATGAATGATTATCACATTGTACAGTACATAATCTTTGGAGGGTTTTAAAGAACAAAAGAATACCTCATTTGAATTGCAGTCAAATATAGTGTCAGTTATATATATTACATGAACCTGGCATAATTCAGGAAGATGTTATGTACTTTTTTCTATGTACCATCTACACTATTATTCAAAAGTGGGAACTTTTAACATTTTTCAGTCTGAGCGATTTCACTGACAAACATGAATGAAATATGGAACTGGTTATTCATTTCTTTTAGGCTACAGTACTACTTTTGAATAAATATATAAATATATCTAAAACGATTGTCTTGCACTACAGTTCATGTATAAGGAATTGTGAGCTGTGCAGTACTAAAGGATTCTCAAAGGGTAGAAGGACAAGTTATATGTTGAAAAAAATTCAAACTAGGAATGCTACTTAAATGTGGATTAGCAAAGTTTTTAAAAATTTCTATTGTGCAGGAACTATGGTAGATTCATTACTAAGGAGTAATATTGAATGAACTATACTAAAATAAATACTGCATTAATGAAAAAATTATGCCAGCTTCAGGTTGTTAGGGAACAATTGTCTGTTGACAACATCACAGAGACTCTAGTAGGGTAATAATGAGAGTTGCTAGGAGAGGTAGCATATATATATATGGTATGGTATGAGATTAGTACAGTTTAGTGTGACAGTTGACTTTTTCTCTTCTAATTATGGCTTGTATTACACGGAGATGTCTACAAAAGCAGAAGGAATTCATCCTTGATGGTGTGGCAGTGGACACCATTGGTAGCAGCTATGCCCACATCCTGCCCAAGTTGTGGTCTGCATTGCCACCTTATAATGCTCAGTTAGATATCCATGCTGCTAGCTATTTCTCATCTCCAGTGGTCAAATCACTGCTAAAAAGGACAGAGCAGGTAATGGCATTTGAAAGTTGAAATGGAAAGAAATAGAGTAAATAAGCAGCAGGCTAAGAGATATAACTTAATGCAATTTAATATGCTAGACCGTAGTCCAGGTTCCAATGACTTGTAGATAACATGATAATTTAAAACTTGCTGAAATCAATTTTATAATACATTTCTGTGGGAAATGGGTCAAATAAAGATGCATGAAATGTTTGAATAGCTTAATAAATTTAAAGTGGGTGGGGCCCACTGACCTAGCAGTTAAGATATTAGACTTGTCAAACTGTTAGTTCGAGTCCGAAGCCCTACATGACAAAGTGAGCTGTTCTTGGCACAACTCCTGCAACTTATTTACATGCAAATGCAAGTAGATAAATAGGTACCAGTTTGATGGGAAAGTAACTGTTCCATGAGTCTGGGTGTATAGTCATGATGGCTATATTACCATGGACATTTTTTTGGATGCTGGCTCCAACTAGGAAATGGAGATGAGCACCAACCCCTGGCATTAGATAGGACTGGACAGAGAAAATCTTTATATATTTAAAGTAGAATTCTACCCAACACAGAATACCTAAAACTCAAAACAAAATCCCTAAAAATATAGCTCCAGCTATATATTATTACCTTGGCTATCAAAATAAGAAATATGATTCTGGCTGAAAAATGCTGGCCTCTTACTCTGATAATCCACAGAGTAACACATTCCTTTCTTTAATTAAAAACAAAAATCTTCTCAAATAAATTTATTTAGGTTTCTAGAATAATTGGATACCATAACTGGATCCCATAAATTTAATTTGTTCAGAAGATAACCCCTATTAAATAAGAAGAAAGCCCAATTAAAAACTGTTTATGCCTCCAAAATCTCAGATACTGATTTCTCCTAACTTATAGTTCAGAATATTCTTCTTTTATGTGTTCTTGCACACAGCTTCTTGATTTTTCAGAAGAGAGATGGGAAATTGTGGGCAATAATGGTCTGTTCCTTGGACAGAGATTGGCCCAGACTGGTAATTGGTTCATAACACACACTTTAGATAGAAAGTTATTAATTGTAAATGCTATGCTGTTTCCAATATTTAGATTTGATTTTTTTTCTTAGAATGTTTGGTCTTCACGCTTGATGTCACAGCTCTCTTTATGATCTCACTGTAGATATTACCCATTGCCTCACATTTAAGAAAAAATATTCTATAATGATAAAAATTAAAACCAGCCTTCGCTCTCTCATACTCTGAATATCTACCATCACTACATATTCATTTGTTTTTAAACTGAATTAATTGGGCTTTGTTTTTCTTTTGTTTGACAGACTCGTGGCGGCACCTCTAGGGATGGATGGATAGTGGACTATTTCCATATCTATGGGCCAGGCCAGAGGTATTTGAACAGGAGAAACTGGGCAGGAGCAGGTGAATAAAGCGTTGCACCCATCTCTTTCTCTATCTTTCATTTCACCAGCAGCTGTTTATATTCTAAACTTTTAAAGTAATTCAGGAATGTTGATAATGTCTATACTGAAATTACATTTCATGGTACAAGTGAAAAAGCTATTGTTTAGATATTTTAATAAATACATAAATATATTAAACTAAACTCCATGTTTAAAATAAACATTAAGCATACCAAACAGAATAGTAATAGGCGGACAGTTCATATACTATTAGGAATAGAAGACTCTTTTTGGCTTAACAAAAATACAGCATCATAACTCCTTAAAATGAAAAGCCAATTTGAACAATTTCCTCCCTTGCAAATGAAATTTAATTTTAATCTGTATATCATAGGAGTTCTTTTATGCTGTAGAACTATAGTTGCCTGCTGAAGGCTTGTATTGTTAAGAGAAAGAACAAAATGGAGGAAGTTTTGATAGTGTGCCCTCTTTGGTTGAACATACTGACAAAAACCTGTCCAGCTTTTCCTGGACTAGCCATTTGCTGGTTTGCACGAACAAAATGGGGAACAAATGCCACAGCAAATTTTGAGAGTGATGTCACTTTGTCTATTTTTTACAAAAAAATAATAACAATCTGAGGACCCCTGGCTTAAAACATTATTCCCAAACACTACTCCCAATTCTAACTTTATAAACCAATGTCCCACTTTGCCTCCTTTTACTCATGTCACTAAGGGCTGTAGTACAGGGTTTTTAAAAGATGAGATTTTTTCTCAAGTTTCTGAATAAACAAAATTTTGCCATGTTTTAATTGCATTGGACTCTGTAAACTTTCTCAATATTTTTATAGCAACAAGAAAAAGAAATTTAAGATAATGTTCTTAAAATTAACATTTTATGATCACAAAATAATACACATGTATCTGCTTATTATTGTATTAATATTTTAATGACTCTGTCCAGAACTGAGCAGTAAGTTGAAGCTGCTATTCCACACATTCTTACTGAGGATTATTGATTGTTATTTAGAAATAGATTTTAGAGATAAGTTTAAGATTTTTTTTTTTTTTGCCATATTTGATTGATACTCTAAACTAGCAGTCCCCAGCCTTTCTCGCTTTATGGATTGGCGATGGCAGAGGCAGGGGAGGGAGGATAGTTTCATACATGCAATCTAGTTCCTGCACATGTGCAATGAAGCTTCAAACCACTCACACGCCTCTTGCAACATTGGGCATTGATCAATCAATGTTCTTTGTTTTTCGGTTGAGTGGAGAAGAATACTGATTAGTCATAATCATCTCTGCTTGTTCTCCCAATGAAGGTCACAGAAATTTAACTTGTGTTTTTCAATGTACTTTGGAGGGATTATAGAGTGGAAATGAGGGGGAGTAGAAATTTAGGATACAATAATCCATTGCTGACAGAGCAGTTAGGTTATGCAAAGTAAAAGAAAAACAAGGCAGGTATTGAAGATAATGGTGTGTGTTTGTATACAGGTTGCACTTTCCAAACATACTTCAATCTATTTTGGCTGGATGATCATTAATATTTATTTTTATACAGGTCACTCTCCAGAGCAAGTGGCTGGTCACCATCTATACTTGATGGGTGCAAAGCCAGCAACAGGTTGGAATGGGCGATATGGCTATCGCCGCAATACTCCTGATCTTCGCACACGCTCTTCTTGCTTTGGTGAAGTAACATGGCTCCCCATTCACTGAAAAACATCAGTTTATATCAATCTGTCTCTTCTTCTAACTTAAATGCTCTTCATATGTTTTGTTGTTCTTGATTTTTCAAAAATAATAAAATACTTTTAATTTCTTACTTAACAGTTTGTTGCTTGTGGAGAAGGGAAATTCTGGCAGAAGATTACATTAGGACAGCATTTTCCTAACTGGGCATGGTAGATGTGATGCTTTGGGGAGGATGAAAGCTCTATTGTAGTCCAAGATGGGGAAGGAAAAAAATATAAACCAAAATTCTGCCCGTGACAATTGTATATTTTGTGGTTTGTGACTTTTGTTTTCGGGACAGAAAATGTGTTCAGATTAACTATATGCTAAAGCATATAACTATACTGCTTTGGGTTTCAAGGAGCATTGAACAGCAAATCTGAATCATTTTAATTAGCTATCTAACCGTTTCTCATTCCTGTCATTTCTATTCCATACATATGAACTCTGGTAGGAAAATATCTGTGTGCTAGAGTGACCAGGCAATAGTGCTTCAGAAATAACACTATAGAGACAGGGGCAGATATATCACTTGCCTATTTGTAGAATCTGAGGTATATTTTTTTGACATTAAGATCTGCTTAATACATAAAGAAAAACAATATGCATCAAGCACGCACCCTGGAAATGAATCACACAGTATTACATTTGTAATTATGGCCATTTAAATTTCATGGAACACAAATTAGGTTAATGTTAAAATTGTGGCTATGAAACTACTACCATTGCAGACACACAGAATCATTTCCAAAATTATAAACAGGAATACCAGCCATATCTCTAATAGTAATAGCAATATCACAAACACTAGGTATTGTGTAGTGGGCTTCAGTAGGCAAAGAGCAGACCAGCATATTTACTACATCATTTATTGACTCAATTGGAACTGGAACTGCAGGCAATTTCCTGTAATTTATACTTTGAGCCCACAGGGCCTTAACCAATCACAAAACTTGGAAAGCCCGCCCGAATATAAATGTTCAAAGTTTCCTCCAAAAACAGTTGGAGTTAAAAGTCAGTTTCACTTTACAGGGCTTAACACTACTTTATATATTTCAATACATAACACCCATTCCCCCTAGGATAGTTATCATCCTCAGCCTGTTCAATATTCATAGTCTTTGAGATAGGCTGGGGCTCCACGGATCTTGGTGGACCGCTGTAATGTTATTGGAGAGTCCTGTTCAAGTGGAGTATTATCCCTCTCTTGTTGAACAGAGTCATGATGGCCATTTTGGTCATCCGAGAATGGTGGCGGCTCTACGGCCCTTCGTGCCTCCATTTCCCCAGAAGCTCCATGGGTGGTTTAGGCAAACTCAGAGGAAAACAGTTCTCTTGTGTGTCTGATAAAACCTCGGGATTCTCACCTGGGACTGGCCCAGCCTGTCAATGCCGCAACTGATCAATGTGGCATCTGACCATACGATCATTTCCCAGAATAACCTCGTATGACAAGGCCCCCATTATCTTAGTTACCCTAGCTGCCACCTAAGGGGCCCCAGTTCTATAGTTCCTGGCCCAGATCAATTCACCCAGCTGTACGTTCCTGGGGGGCTTCGGCTGAGCCATCTCTACCGCTACTCTGGGTGAAGTTGGCCAAGCTTCGTGGTGAGCCGGTGGCCCCACCTCAGCTCCGCTGGACTGCGACATGTTGCTGTACTGGGAGTTGTATGTTGACACAGGAGGAAGTTTGCCAGGCAGTGGTTCCAGTCCCCAGTCGTCATCCGTTTGAGTGCCTCCTTTGTGGTCCTGACCATTCGTTCGGCCTGACCGTTGGTCGCAGGGTGGAATGGAGCAGATGTTACATGCCAAATCATGTTGGTGTTGAGGAAGGATTGAAACTCTCCTGCCGTGAATTGGGTCCCGTTTTCGGACACTATTACATCTGGCAGATCACGTGTGGCAAACAGCCAGAGCAACTCAATGATGACCCTGGTTGTTGTCATCAATGAGACTGGTGCCACTTCCACCCACTTGGAATAACTGTCTACTACAATTAGGAACACCTGCCCTTGGAAAGGGCTCATAAACTCAATGTGCACCTGAGACCATGGGGCGTGCGTGGTCTCCCAACAGTGTACTGGTGCTTGTGGCATCTCCAGTTGGATTTCTTGGCAGGCCTGGCAACTTGTTACTTGATTTTCAATGTCCTTGTCCAGGCCTGGCCACTACAAGTAACTCCTGGCTAGAGCCTTCATTCGAACAATTCCTGGGTGCCCCTTGTGTAAGGAATCCAGCACCCTGGAGCGAAGACTGGGTGGAATGATGACCCTGCTGCACCACAGCACACATCCCTTGTGGGCTGACAGTTTTTTTTTCTGAGAAGAGTATTGATGGAACTCAGGGCCTGGCCAGGTCTCTGGCCATCCACTTAACACCCAGTTGAGAATGCGGCTAAGCATTCTGTCTGTGGTGGTTTCAGCTGCAATGTCCCCTGCATGTAGGGGTGTTTTAGGCAGGTCCTGGATCGCAAGATATGACAAGCTGGGGCTGGGTCCAGATCAGTCTGCAGTAGAGGCAGTTGGCTGAGAGCATCGGCGTGGCCCATTTCCTTACCCGGCTTGTGGACTAGCCGGTATGAGTATGTAGCCATGAAAATGGATTATCGTAACATTCGTGGCAACAGAATCTGTGGTGTCTGTCTGCTGTGAAGAGACCCAGCAGAGATTTGTGGTCTGTAAAGATGGTGAAGGTCCATATAAGAAGTGGTGGAACTTCTTAATGCCAGCCACTATGGCGAGGGCTTCCTTGTCTATCTGGGCATATTTCCTTTCAGCCGATGATAACGTTCTAGAATAGTATGCGATGGGGGTCTCTCTACCATTTGGCATCCTGTGGCTTAGTACTGTCCCAAGGTCATATGGTGAACCGTCCCAGGCTAGTGTTACTGTTAGGTTTTCGTTGAAATGAGCTAGGACGGAGTCTGAGGATAGCAATCATTTCACCGCCTTGAACGCTTTGTCTTGGGTGCTCGACCAGACCCAGGGTACTTTTTTATCCAGTAGGCGATGTAGCAGTTTTGCCAGGGCAGCCTTATGTGGCAAGAAAGAGTGGTAAAAATTGATCAAGCACAGGAATGATTGTAGTTCCCCTTGGATTTAGGTGTGGGGGCTTGCTGAATTGCCTTTAGCTTTGCTTCAGATAGGTGAATTCTGGCAGCATTGATGAGGAAACCCAGGAATTCTGTGGATTGCATGCCAATCTGACACTTTTCCTTTTTTAGTTTTAGGCCTGCCTTGCTGAAACATTGGAGTACGTTCCACCAGGACCGCCGCTGACTCCCCCATGATCAGGACATCATCAGAATATGGGCAGATGCCGGGAATGTTTCTCAGTGTTCGTTCCATAATACTTTGGAATAACCCAGGTTTTATGCTCACTCCCAAACTGCAAGCGGTGCACTTGGAATGCACTTCTGTGTGTGACGATTGTTTGTGCTTCTGCAGTAGCGTTGTCTACCGGTAGATGCTGGTAGATCTGGGCGAGGTCTAACTTAGCAAAGATTCGGCCTCCCTGGAGCGAGGCAAGGATGTGGCTCACTACTGGTACAGGGTAAGCATGCAGCTGTAGTGCCTTGTTTATGGTACACTTGTAGTCTGCGCAGATGCGAACGTACCCGTTAGGCTTAACTGGGGTCACTATTGGAGTCTCCCACTGGCTACAGTCCAGTACTCCCTGCTGTACCAGCTTGTCTACTTCCACATCAATTTTAGACTTCAATGCAAAGGGAACCCTGCGCGGTTTTAATTGGATTGGGATTACTGCTGGATCGAGGTTGAGTGAAATGGGTGCCCCTTTGTATTGTCCCAGCTCTGTGCTGAATACATCAGCATATTGTTGGCATACTGCTGCTAGATCAGTTATTTGTGCTTGATGGATGCCCATTACCCTGATGCCCAGGGCCTCGAACCAGTCCAGTCCTATGAGGCTGGTACACGGTCCCTCTACGACTACACTGAGGGGACCCTCAAACTCTCTGAATTGTACTCTAATGGTAGTTCCCCCCCCCCTTATAGGAACACGGCAATTTTAGAAGTCCGTTAGTACTAAGCTCGGTGATTTGAATGGGACCCACCTTCGGCTACGTTTGCAAATGTGGTCGAAAATCTTGGAGGAGATAATGGACAGGGCCGATCCAGTATCTAGCTCCATGGAGCATGGGACCCCTTGCAGTCTTAGTTGGAGTCTTATCTTTTCTTTGATGGAACATTGAGCCCCAGGGCCTTGGATGCTACGCTTTCCCGAGCAGTATTCAACTCTATTCTGTCCTGGGGGCCATTTCCCCTTGTGCTGCTGTGTCGCAGGTTTCATTTCCCACTGACGACCTCGGCAAACTCTGGCAATGTGCTCTTGCTTTCCACAGGCTGGCATACTGCTGTGTGGAATCTGCACTCAATTCTTTCATGCGGTCCCCCACACCTTGCACAGCTCTATGGGGAAGTTGCTTGCTTTGTGGAGTGTGGCTGTCTGGGTAGCTCTTTCTGCAAACAATTGATTTCTTCACTCTCACTGGCCTCTCCCAAGCCTTCTGCGGTCTCTTGGTGGATTGCTGTGGGGCTGGTGTGTGTTTTAGGTGTTTCTGTAGAAAAATGTAGGTCAGTCTATTAGGAAATCAGTCCAGTGGTATTATAGTGTGGGAAGAATCCAGAGAAATAAATATTTTGGAAAATATTAAAAAGGCAGAATATATTTTCCCGAAGGAATAATGGAGAAGATCTTAAAAATAAGACAGAAACCAGCCCCAACCCCTCTTTCCCAAGCAGAAAACTCAGCAGAGGCCAGCTTTTAGAAATGCAAATTCAATAATCCTTTCAGAAAGGTTGGAGCCTTCCAGCTAGAAACTGAAGAGATTAGGAAGACATAGACCCCTAAAATCTACATACCCACACCCAAATTCAAAGGACAGGAAACATAATAGGATTAATCTACCAATACCAAAAGGGCACACTCAGACTCAGGTCAAAGTACATGACACAGAAAATACTGTAAGGTCCCAGTCCCTTACTTAAACTTGAGATACCATATCAATCTAATCAGATAACCCAAGTGGAGACTTCTTGATCAAGCAGCACTTTACTTAATCAAATTAAG